GCCCGATCGGAAGTGCCACGCGGAGCCAGAGCTGGGGCTCCTGACGCTCTGGGCGCGTGTCCCCAGGGCCTCACGGCTTTCCCTGCTGTGTGAGCCGCTCTTTTTGGCTCTTTCGCCCGGCTAGCTTGAACGCAGGGCCAGCTTTCCAGAACCACTGGGTCCAAAGGATGTCCCTCTGCATTCGGTTGTGAACACCAGCCTCTTCAATGCACCTCCCCCTCCGCCACCCCCAAGAGAAGCTGTTTCCTTTCTCCCAGTGATGCCGCCAAGGAACCTTGAAACTTCGACCTCTTGGCTGTTCCCATTTTGCAGAAAACAGCTCCCTGGGCCCCCGAGTGCACTGAATGGCCTGTGTCTAAACAAGCGCTGGGCTCAGCAAGATGAGGAGAACTCTGATTTTAGAGTCGCACAGCCTCGACTGACACCCTGACTCTGAACCTTCCTCATCATGAAGTGGGCATTAACTACGCACATAGTAGGTGTTTGATAAATGTCTGCCACTTCAATCCTTGGCCCCAGGAGCACCTGCCACAGCCCAAATGGAAAAAAAAAAAAAAAACAAGTTCTGAGGGATGATAGTGGGTATGGTGTGTGGAGTGTGGCTACGACCAGTAGAGTGGTCAGGGGAAATGACCCAGCTACCATTTCACTCTATAAAGGGTTTCTAGCTGTTTCAAGCAAACTGAAGTTCAAGCAATCCAGAGGTGGAAATTGGAGAGAGGGGAGTTGTTTCTGCTCTCTCTCTTTAAGAACTGTGAAATAAAGAAACCTTTGTGTGACATGTATAAAGACCCCTAATCTTTCTGCTTTGAGTTCAAGCATTTTGTTGTGTGGCTTTCTTAAAGGAAAGCAAATTTGTGGCTGGAAATTCTCCTACCAGCCTTCTCTTGGGGTTCTCCCGGTGCTTTGAGCAAGGAATTGGTTTCCTGCTGCTTCTCTTCTCCTTCCCCTCCCCCCACCCCCCAGTCTACACCGTGCTGGCCTCTAAATGCACTCACCCTGGTAGAGGACCTAGAGTCTCCATCCTGGGGGTGGGGGGCAGAGGTTGTGGGCAGGAGTCGGTGCTTGTGAAGTGATTGTCAAGGTTTTGATCCACTGTTTTTAAGAAGCTCATTCAGGGGCATATGGTGTGGCTGAGGTCACAGCTCATAAGTAGCAAAGCTAGAATCGGAACCCAGAATTTAGTGCAGAGCAGAAAAGAGACAGATCTGGCGTCAGGAATTGTTCTAGGCTAAATCTTGACAAGTACAGTCCCTGTGACCACGGACAAGTCATTTTCCTCTTTGAGCTGCAGGACCTCATCTGCCCAAGAGGAACTATGAGGACTGAAGGAGTCACAGATGGTCACTCTTGAGGTTCTGGGCAAATGCAGGGTATATTCTATTACAGGCAACCTCAGAGCATCCAGATCTAGAAATGGCACCACCAAACTGGTCTATATTAAGTTGGGAAGAATAAAGTTTCTCTCTCTCCTCTTCCTGGTGCTTTTCGACCTGTAAACTCAGAAACCCGACTATGGGTTGTGGGAGGTTGATGTTAAAAGTAAGATGTACAGGCATGTGCATGTCAGTGGGAACTTGAAAAGGAGGCTGTCTCCGTCCTGGCTCTCCATAAGCGCACTAAGTGAGCTCAGAATAAAATGGCCTTTGTTCACAGGGTCTCAGTTTTCCCAGCTGAAGAGTGGGGGCCATGTGGGGCAAAACAAAATCATGGCATATGATTGCAATGTTTTCTCCCCACTGCGAGCCATCCCAGGGAAGCTTTCCTAGAAAACTCCCAGGTCCCCTCCACAGACTGTAACCCATTCCTTCTGCCTTAAGTATGGCAAGTGAAGAGGGACAGATTACAGCCAGGACCCAGCATCCTGACTCATACAAAGTGGGCTAGGGCCTTTCCTGCTGCCTGACTTGGCAAGCAGAGAGTAAAACCTCACTCTGGCTCCCCACCCTACCCCTTCCCCCTTCCCTTGGGCTACAATGGTTGCTTTTGTTGGCAAATATTATATGTTCAACTCCTTTCTACTGAGAAGCCTTTGTTAGAAAGAGGGCACCTGGGAATACAGTAGGAGTCAGGGCCGGAGGAAAACGGCTGGGTGGCCCCAATTCTGGGAATGAACAGAGGCGCTAAGTCCACAAGCATCAGCGGGGGTCCACCCAGGGGAAAAGCCCTGTCTCTCACCTGGGAAGTTTTCACACCGGAGAATGAACATCACCAGCTCTTGCTGATGGTCCTGTTAACCAACACTCCTCTGTCCAAGATCCTGGCAGGGGAGGGAGATGCAAACATTTGCATTGCATAGAGTGAGCAGCCAGTTGGAAGATGTGATAGGTATAAAGAAAGCCTGAAAACCAGGGAAGGTTGTGGTAGGGAAATGTACTCTGGATGAAGGCCCAGGGTCCCCAAGAGGGCTACACACTCAGGCAGGAGAGGGGATGAAACACATGTTCGAGCTGAGCCATGGAGGCGAGGGAAGGTTCCCATCAGGGGCAGGGGGAGAGCGATTCTGGAAAGGAAGCTACCTTGAGCACAGGGAGGAAAGTGGGGTACAGCCTGCCTTGAGTGAGCACCCCCTGAGGAGGTAGGCAGTGCTGGAATTACGCCCATTTTTAGACTTAGACAAAACTCCGGAGTTGGAACCACAGCTGCTCTGAGACAGCCTCCAAGGCAATGCCCCAGCCCCATTTTACCAGGCAGGTAAACTGAGGTGTAGAGGGGAATAGAGATTGCTTCTAGTTTAAAGTAGGGCAGATCCCCTGGCTTCAGAACCCGGGCACCTCACCCTCACCTGTGGAGCCCAGTCTTACCTCGAGCACCCACTCTCCCTCCCTTGCTCCACCTTCCAGGGTGAGGAGATTGAGACAACAAAATCTCCCTATCTCAGAGGGAGGCACAGACCCCCTCTAGGGAAGCAAGCCTGTCAGCGTGAGACAGGTGTCTGAGGTAAGAGGCCAGGAATCCTGGGTGAGGGCCGGGGAGGTCACAGGTGACACAGTCAAAGGCACATTGTTATCACAGTTTAGGGGGCCAAGTAGGTGGATGTCATTTGTTGAGTACCAGCTGCTGTGCTAAGTGGTGACAGGTTGTCCTGAAACACCCACAGAGGATCTTTTTCTTATAAGTCTCTGGGTGACCCGTGGCCAACTGGTCTCTGACATTCTCAGGAGAGGAGAAACTCCACCCAATCTCAGTGAAAGCCACCCCCCAAATAGGAAGCCAGAAAGTCACTTGCTCTCCGTTCTCACCAGCCACACCAGTCACCCCCAAGACCTATGGATCCGCTCCAAAGGACCTCCCAAATACAGCTACCTCCTTTGATCACAAACACAGCCCCTGCCCATTCAGGCCCAGGCCGCCGGCATCCCTTCACTGGACACTGCCAGTAAGTTGTCCTGACAGATGCCCCCCTCCTCTCTCCTCCCTACAACCTTTTCTCCAGCTGCCACAGAGAAGGTATTTGAAAACAACAGTCATTTGGTTACCTCCGCTATAAAACCTCCAAAGTTTCTGTTCCTCTTGAGACAAAGATCAGACTCCCTAACTCAGCCTACAAAGCTCTGCACAGGAGGCTGGCCCTCCAGACTGCTCATCCTTCCCGACTAACTCAATATATGTTCACAGGTTGCCTCAGGACCTTTGCACCGGCGGTTCCCCCTGCCCGGAATGTTCCATGTTCCCTCTTTACCCCGTCACTCTCAGCTCACCCTTTGGACATTTCACCAGTCATCACTGCTTAAGTCCTGGTCTCCCAAGGTCAAATCCCCTTTCTTTTTTTTTTCTTTTTTTTTTTTTAAGATTTTATTTTATTTGTACATTCAGAACTGGGGTACAGGCCAGAGGCTCAGGGGCGGTGAGAGGCTTCACCAGAGACAGAGTGGGGAGCAGAACACAAGGAAGTACACTGCTGAGGGGAGCAGCATGCGGGTCAGGAGAGGTCTGCCACACCATGTGGTCACCTCCGGGGCAGGCGGGGATCGAACTCATGCGGAAGTGGCTTTAGCTTCTCAGTGCTGTGCTTTAACCCGCTGCACCACCAGGGAGGGCCAAATCCCCTTTCTTTAGTTGCACTGTCTCTATTTCCTCCTTCACAACACTTTGCAATGTTGATTTTCATTGTTTCTGTGTGATTTGCAGATCAGTATTTGCTAACATACACACACACAGAGAATATGAGTTCCATAGGGAACAGGAATCGTATCTGGATTTTCTTCCTCATTGTGTCCCCAGGGCTTGTCCTATATTTGGCACTTAGTGGGACCTCAATAAATATTAGTTAAGTTGATGAGATGAATGGGCACTGGAGAAGGAACAGTTCATGGAAGTGTGGGGCTAAGCAATTCTCAGAATAGTCATTTCAGGGGAAACCCTGAGACACACACTTGTAAATCCTGCTACCACGGTCAACATGAAGATAACCAGTAGACCAGGGACTGCAGGAAAGAGTTGTCATTCTGGTCCTCTCAGCCTTGAAAAGAGAGTTAAAATAACAAATGCCAGCCTTTAGGTGCCACTTGCTGACCAGCTACTTTACATACTTACTTCACTTCCCACAATAACCTTGCAGGTAATATCCTTATCTCT